TGAAAGGACTTCAGACTCCAGACCTGCCGGCGCGCGGCGCGGGGGTCCCTTCCGATTCTCAGGAATGTCCCTTGTCGAGGATGCAACACTTAAAGAATCGACGTGAGAAACACCAACACCTATCCAAGGGATACATCATGAGCTGTGGCCGCTATGAAGGCTGTCTTAGGGGAGGGCTCCATTGGAAGTACTCATGCCTGGCTTGGAAACTTCTGATAGTGCCGGTGACGTTCCCAGCACAAGACTAAGTCGTCAGGAGTCTAAGCCTAAGCACCGGCCAGACTTGCAACAGTGCATAAATGTTGCTGCCTCAACTTGGAACTCCTTTCTCAACAACAACCAAGTGTTGGCAGCGCAGGGGCGCAGGCAGCTCAGCCAGCTTGTGAGGTCCGCAACTCCCAAAACGGCAAGGGGCGGAAGCTTGACCTTTTCAATCTCTCTGCTAAACCACTGACCGACCAGGGACCCAGATGCTTTGTTACACAAACTCAAGAGGAAATCTCAGCCAAGCGATTCACGGCCCCGGTCCGCACGGAATCCAACGAGAAGGAAAACCTGCTGGTCCGCGACTTCCACTGAAAGTCGGCGACTTCCACTTTGGGGACAAACTGGGGACACGTCCAGCGACCTGACGCACTCCTTTGCCTCACCCTGCTCCTCCCTCCCCACTTGGATCCGAATCCCCGGCCTGCGCCACGACGCACCAGGATGCCGCCCTTCTCTGCGCCCCCCACCACTCGCCATGGCCCCATGGCAAGGGCCGATGCATCGAGCCGGATGGCTGAAGGGGGGCTGCAGCTGGGGGGCTGCAGCTGGGGGGCTGCAGCCGGGGGGCTGAAGCTGGGGGTCTGCAGCTGGGGGCTGAAGCTGGGGGGTGGGTGTTCCAAAGAAACCATGCAAGAGCCCCTCGCCCAAATGCCACGCCAGGGCCATGTCACGGCACACAGATACGGTTTGCGTCAGCGCGGCACTGAGGCACAAAGGTCAGCCTTGGGGGCAAAGAAGCGGCCGAACGGCCGCGGGACGGATCCAGCCCCGAAGCAATGCGCAGCTTCCAGCGGCCAAAATACTTCTGACCCACACGGGGGCCGATTTGGATTGGGGAAGCAAGCAAGGTTAATTTATGCGATTTCGCGGGAATATGATCTGCATAATGGCCATCAAAAGCCATTATGAATATGGCGCATTGGTCTTTTCCGTCCGTGTGCGCATCCGTAGTATCAGCCAAGATTCCCTAAAAATGACTGCCCTGCGGGCAAATAAATCCCGGCTGTCGTTGAAGTGATGGACTGGCAAGCGCCAGGGGGCTTTTACCGAGCCACGTTGCCTTGGGGCGTTGCCTTACAAAGCTAGGTGCCGACACACTCTGCTTCTGAAACCTTCAGCCTATTGGTCAGCCGAGTGTGAACAAGTTCCTCTCCAAGTGGTAACACAAGCCAACGCCCGGGTGATAATTGATCGATCATTTTTCGGGCATGTCAAAACCTGGGCGCATGCAGCTCGAGTCAAGCCCAACTTCACCAGCAAACCTTGTGAGCCAGCCCGGCGCCGTCAGCTGACTGCCGCTCTCACGAGTCTGACATTGCGAGCGCCTGCGGACCGGAAGGCGCTGCATAGGGGCAGGAGTCATCAGCCCGTGAGCCAAATAGAACAGAACAGGATGCGAATGCGATATGTGAGGAATTCGGCCCTAGCAACAACCCGGCTTGCTGCCAGCTCTATAGTGTCATAATATGCAGCTCTACAACAATCACCTGATGGTCGTCAGCTCCCTGCGATGCCTTTTTAGCTTTGAATCTTGATATTGTTGATGCAAGCGCGCATCGTAGATTGAGCCGTGCCTTTCATCCCAACTGCAAAGCAAGCATGCACCAATGATTTGTCTCATGCAAACACGGCTACAGGTTGATCGCACAAAGTACAGCCCGCCTGACACCCCCCTCCAGAGGCTGGCTTCTCGCTGTTCAAAGATGCCTCGGAGAAGGCTTGCGTCAACCCTCTGCTACCCTTGGAAAGACATGGGGGAGCCCAGTCTAAGACCAAAAAGAGTGGGCCCCCAAGCCTTTCTTCCAACATGAGTGCTTCAATCGGGGTTCGCTTCTTTCGCGTAAGGTTCCGGCCGCTTGGACGCCCCGTCTCACCGTCCCGCAGTGCAATTGCCTCCAGCTCCCTGGCCTGGCCGCTCACAATCTCGGGGCCGACGCGGTGTGGGGAATGCTGCGCGGAAGGCAACCTAAGAGACAAAGCAGCAACAAATGCATCTGGATCACACGGAACTAGTTGATGAACAAGTCCCAAAATAGACTGCCATGTGGTTTGATGGGCCCAACAGGGGATTCGAGCCCAGTCCTTCGCCTCTGTCAGGCGCCTTCTCACGCTAGTGCCGGCTCGCGCGGAACTGCTGGTAGACCGGTTGGTCCCTCCATATCTCCAAGAACTGGTCCAGGCAAATCAAGACCTAGGGGGCAAGCCTTGCCCAACATGAACCTCCTGGACAGGCACTCTCGAAGACTGTCTCTTGCGACGGGCCCAAGGAAGTCAAGTAATTGCAATCCGCACATCATACGCTTAAAAAACATGTTGAATGAGCTATCCAGCGATGGACTCAGCTGATTGGTTGGTGCTCCTTTTTGCTGCTCAATGAACAAAATGCGGCTTGCCAAGCGTCGTGCACCTTGTGTCCAAGCCACTGAGTAAGGTGATGGCTGGATGCCACCATGTTTGCTATACGAGGATACCAGTGGCCACCGCCAACACTAACCAACCAAGCAACCAACCAAGCAACCAACCAAGCAACCAACCAAAAACCAATGCCAACATGACCACGACCGACCGACCGACAATCACCAGCAGCAACAGTTCAGCAGCAGCAGCAAGCAACAAGTCAAATAGCAGAAGCAAACAACAACGTTTCGGTTGGGTGTCACTGCGCCTTCTTTCGGTCAGGACAAAAGCCACCCGCGATCGCCACAGCGCACTGTTCATACTGCCCTGATTCTGAAAAGTTGTGCTTCTTGAACTGGAGCTGCCAATCGCTTGCTGCAAGTTGATAAGATTCAAGCTTCAAGATGCAGGACAAAGATGTCTGGGGATTTGGGAATTTTGAATCCCATTTACCTCAACGTGGCTTTGAGTCACGCCTCTCGATTGAAGATTCTGAAGAAAGATCTCCAGGGCATCTTGAATCTCAAAGCACTTAAAAATCCAATTTTGGTAGCCGAATGGTAAGCGCACCTGCTCGAGTGCACCAAGTGCACCCGCTCGAGTGCACCAAGTGCACCCGCTCAGCACTGAATCCATGCCTGCCAAATGGTACGATGACAAGAAGGACAATTAGGTACCTATTGAATGAAGACAACTAGAAGGCCGGTGGCGAGAAAACGTAATTTATGTTGTAGGCAAGATTAGCTGCGTTTTTTTGGACCGAATAAGCCTTTCCGTGCAGCTTCTTTGCACAAGTTTCTCTTCGCAAGGTCTCTGAGCAAGTTTCTCGGAACAAGTTCTCTGAGCAAGTTTCTCTGGGCAAAAGATCAATTTTCGGCACCTCTTGCATACAAGAAATGCATATGTGCTGGATTCGAGATTCCCAGTTGCCCAAGAAAGCTTTCTCCAAATTCTTGACTCGAGAAAAAGGCCATAGACTCAGTTTAAGACTATAGCATGGTGTATGAAGCCATATTACTCTGGTTTCGGGGGAAATCTCGGATCTTGGATCCAGATTCCTTTCTACCGGGTATTAAGAAATCTAAATGCAGTACTAAGAAAGCTTAATACCGGTATTAAGGTTTCAGGGGGGGCGTTCAAGGACCCTAGATCTCCCTCAAAAGTCCACCAGCAATCTTGGATCTTGGATCCAGATTCCTTAATACCGGGTATTGAGAAATCTAAATACCAGTATTTAGAATCATGGCACCCCCATTCCTTGTGGCCATTCCTTGGCCTAAAAAATGTGGTTAACATACAGATCAATATAGGCAGGGGGGGTACCATATATATATATATATATATGGTTTGGTGTGTTTGACCTGTATTTTCCAGTGTTTTACGATTTGTTTTGCTTCTTAGATTTGTGTCAAAATTAGGGGGTGCCATATTCATATACGATATGCATGCATGCAGACAGATGTGATAAAAGCAATGACATCAGCATCTGCAATCTGAAAGAGTTTGAATGCATCCAAGCGTACAAGAACAACTCTGATTTATATATATATATATATATTTAAAAAAGAATAGATTCAAGATTCAAGAATCTGAGAAATGTTTCCTGGAAATCTTGAATCTTGAATCTTGAATCCCATATTTTATTTTTTATGTTTTATAAAAACAAAATGGATTCAAGATTCAAGATTCAAGAGTCTGAGAGAACATTTTCTGGGAATATTGAATCTTGAATCAAGGATTTGGTTTAAACAAATTCCAGGGTTGTCTCAATACTCTCGGTGTTCAATAAGATTCTCGGAAGAGTCTTCCGTGAAATATGTCAATCTCGAATCTTCAATCCAGTGGTAAAATGCGTTCGAGGTGTTAGAACAACTTGAACATTCTCAGGGATTGACCAGGATGGATGGTTCTCGGTAAAGTTGTTGTTTCTGCACTCCTCAATATTGAATCCTCAATCCAGTGGTGAAGCACTTTCAATTGTTAGAAGAACTTGAATGTCGTTTGGGTTTGTCCAGGATAGACAATTCTCAGGAAAGTGTTCTGTGTAATCTTCAATCTTTAATCTTCCATCCAGCGGTAGAATACTTTCAAGTGCTTAGCGATACAGTGGAGAAACCTTCAAGTTACTGATTAGACAAACTTTCAAGTCCTTTGTGAGCTTCATGTCAGCTATGCTCATGTTGACCCTTTTCCAGGAGCACAAACACTGTACTTTCCAGCAGTTTATAAAGGGGCCCAGAATCATTAGGGGTACTATATGTATGTGTATGTATGTGCATATATAGATGTACATATGTATGTACATTCACACAGCGTCACCCCATTTCTTGAACTACCTGTCCAGCTCATCTACTACCTCCACCTTTTGAGATATAATCATTATTTTTCCCTGTAACTTTAAATACAACTGATTTAGCTAGAATCCCTGTTTCAAGATAGTCTTAGAATTTGAACCTCTCTTCCCTTGAAATTTCCCTTTGGACCGTCTAACAAGTTCAATGTCGGACCTTTCTTATGCTACGAAAGGGCCAGAATGTAAATAACACAAAACGTATTTTGAATCTCCTTGTAGACGTCCCTTAAATGTTTAGCCACATTTAGTATGAATTATATTTGAGAAGTAGTCTCTATTTAATTGTTATTATCAAAAGCTAATTGAATTGTGTTCGTATTAGATCATATTTAACACTTAAATTGTATTTGAGAAGAAACTCCTATCTAACTTAGTTTGTCAAAGATTAGTTGGAGTTTACCCGAAACTATATTCACATTTTCATGTAGCTCCTATTTGGAAAGGATTTGCATATCTAAGCTGTAATTGAACATAAACACATGTTGGAACACTATATCCTTACTAAACTATATTCAATTCGAATTGTGGTTGAAGTAAAATCCTATTTAGAAAACCGTATCATGTTGGAACGTTATGGAGAACTCCGGGCTCCAAATCAGGCTTCGGGGACCCACAATTAGACATTTTGAAAATATACATTTTGAGATTCTAGAGTTGCCATCCCCAAAAAGCAGTAACACCAGGGTCCATGGGGGGGGGGGTAGCATATATATATATATATATACACATGTATATGTAGCATGTGTACATGTGGTATCCCCCCCCAAAGCCTACCCTTCTAGGTTTTTTGCGTTGGCTCACACAACAAATAGCCAAAATCAGCAGCTAGCAAACCTGGATCTGGGCGTAGGCCCATAAGAATCTGTCTGAGCAATCCATACTTGCAGCTTGGTTGACCCAATGTGAAAAATGTTTGTTTTGAAATCGTGAATCTTGAGTCCGTTTTAAATAATATGGCAACAGCAAGACACGACAGTGGAACAGTGAACATGGTGCGCAACATTTGGCGCACAGTTGGGCCAGCATTTGGAAGAACAACCGACAAACAAGCAATAAACCAAAAACACAAAACCATAGAACCACCCCCACCGCGGCTGATTTTTCCCGTTTTTGGGTCCAGTGGAGTTGTTGCGCAGCATCATTTGTGAGGGGAAAAAAGGACATGCGCTGCGCAGCTTGACCTTTCTTTTGCGGGGAGGAACAATGATCTGACACATGCCGAAAATACCGCGTTCTACTGCAGTTCTGCAAAGGAACAGATCCATGTTGATTGAACAGTTTCCGGGATTTACTTGGCTCAGTTCGTGCTAAATTGGTTAAACATCCATGGACTTAGATGAGGGCAGCTAACGTTTTGAAACTGAAGTTGGTCTAAATTTCAACTTGTAATGTCAATACTTGTTCCTTGAATGCATAAGAAGTGCAGTTGCTCAAAGCTGAACTTGAAACAGGTATTTAATTTGATTGGGTCTTCTCATATCAGATGCTCAATAAATGCTATTCACTGTTCCAGAAACTCAAGAGGATTTGCGTACTTTCCTTTGCAGAATTGAATCAAAGTGCAAATGGATTTGCGGAAGGACATGGAGCATGTCTTTATAACAGATTTGGATTTCAATTTCAGATAGCGATCATCTCCCCAACATTGACGGTTTGCTGCGTTTCGCGAAATGATAAGAGTAAGCCACGATCACAGAGCTGTTCCAGGTAGGGAGCTGTCCAGATTCTATGCATTCCCGAGGCTTCTAGCAAAGGCCGCCTCTGGCGATCTACATCTGGGACGACCCTGAGCTGTTGAAGTATGATCAATTGGGTGATTTTTTTTGCTAAGGGGGCCCAACAAGTGATTTCTGGCTGCCACTGGTCTTGAGGAAGACAGGCATGCGTCCACTATTTGCAAAAGTCGACACCGACCCTGCCGAGCTTTTGCTCTCAACTTCAATGTTGAAGGATGGCATACTTGATGCAAAGCTCATTTCGCAGTTCTACTTTCAACATTGATCCATTTTGAACTTTCTAGTCTTCTTCTTCTTTTTGCTGAGCATGTATAATATATGTATCTATTTATATATATATATATAAATATGCTACCCCCTCCCCCAACCGTGCCTACGTCTTTGATTTGAGCACGCAGGTTGTATAGTTTTCATGATTTTGCAGTAGGTGCACCGCCAGGCTGTAGTTTGTAAACTGTTTTTGCAGCAGACTTAAGCAGAGATATGCAGGCTTGCAGTCTATCATGTCCATTTCATCTAGTTTTGGACAGAGAGCAATCCCATTGTGCAATTCCAAGGAAAAACCTCCCCGGCAAAAATGTATCAACATGTAGACATTGTCACAGCAAAATGGTTTGCATCTCTGCAAATCCTAAATGGATTCATGAAAAAAACAGATGCGCTTGTGCATCCAAACCTCTGGACAAGGGCAGGCAATTTCCTGCTCCAGGTGACCTGTGAAACCTCAAACAGTGGAAACCACCTCGCCCTCGCGGTGTTCGCGAACCTCGTCACCTGGCACATGTGGAGAGGCGTAGCCGTCGGTGTACTCGCGGCGGTAGAGGGCGACGTATTCTGGGTAGATGGACTTCTCGTCAAAGACGATGAATTCCCGAAAGGTGCCGACCGCCTTCTCTCGGTCTCCGACCACGCTATGGAATTCTCCCGAGGTGCATTTCGCGCTGTAATCGCCTGGCTTCTCCACGAGCAGGGAGCTCCCGAGCACCACACGGCAAAGCATCACCGCGAAAAGGCCATCGTAGGTGCCACCAGTGTTCTCGTCCCTGGCATACTCATCCGCTTTACTCGAGGACTCCGCTAGATATACGCCAGGCCCAAACATTGTGCCCACCGAGGCACCCGCCAAGTCCACCTTGAAGGATGTCGAAAGGATGGAAATGGCCGATGTGGGGTTGGATCCGTGAAGTAAGTATGCCTCGTTGGCAGGATTGGCGCCGGCCGCATCCTTGCACTTCGATGCCAAGGCCTCACTGGCCTGCCTGGTCTTAGGCTCAATGAAGGCCCTCTCGGATCGTTCGTTGCAATTGCGGCTGACCTCCGTGCGTCTCTGCGCAAACTTCTCCCAGAGCTCAGGGTGTTCCGAACGCAGAGCATTCACCACCACGAAGCGGTCAGCCAACTTCACGGACCTGTCCCTGGTGGCCTTTGCCTTGTAGGTGGCATCAAGAAGATCCTGGATCCACGCGAGCTCTTCGGCGCCGGCTGGAATCAAGTTCTTCACCACGGTCCCGGCTTTGGCGTCATCTTTCCAGTAACCTGGAGCTTCTAGGGGTGGTCGGCCCAGCGCTCCTTGCGTTCCGGGCTCGGCCATGAAGACGTTGCGGCCATCGGGGCGGTATCGAAAAATGAGCTGCTGCTCACGCGCACAAACGGCGTAAGAGAGCTCGCGGTCAATCTTGAAAGTAGAGTCTGTGGTGTTCCCATTGCAGACCACCAGCTCCCATGTCCCGACATGGCCAACCATGAAATCGCACAAGCGCATGGTGTACCTTCCGAAGTTGCTTTCACCCGCCAGCTTCCCCATGCTCTGCAAGTGTCCATTTTCAGATGAAACCTCCTTCAAATTGAAAACATCAGTCTCGTAGAGGATGTCGCAATACGGCGGCCGGTCCTTCGGGCGTGCCCTCATGGTCCTTTTGAGGTAAGAATCCAGTTTCTCAAGGACGCCGCCGCAGTCCTGGCCATTGATTTCGATAAATCCTACGTACTTGCCCCAGGCGTCGAGCGGAATGGTGCGAAACTGGATCATCAGAAGCGGCAAGTCGGCCTTTTCGCCAGCTTGTGCTTTGGTGAATTTGATCTGCTGCTCCCGCTTAGGGTTGGCGTACATACCTGATATTTTGCGAACAAGAAAACTCGCCAAAACAGAAATGAGGTGGCGCAACATGAACAGCTCATTAAGAGGGACCCTGTGCCTGAAACGGATTTCAACGCGCGACCATGCAAAGAGCTGCGCCTGCCACGAAATTTCATCACAGCGCTCCAATGCGCAAAGTGAGCTTCACACAGAGCAAAAAGCGCTCAAAGGACTGCACCTGTCACAACATCCAACTTTGACGCGGTTACGACGTCGTGTCACAAACCAGCACGGGACTGCGGCGCCATCGCTTTTAACGATCTTTCAGCTCGCCAAGACCAACCGATTATTTGACAGGGCCAACGACAATGACACTCGCCTGCCAAGAAGACACCGCAAAACGACCACCCCTGAGTTGCAAGTCACCAATCGCACATTCCGAGCCTTCCTCGACGACGCAGCCCTCCCCACCTGCGACCGCTGGCGGACGCTTGCGCAAGCTTGCAAACTAGAACAGGCAAAACAGCCTAGAAGGGTCAACTTTCAACCCTGCAGTAAGCGCACTTTTCTTGAGCCACGCGTTGCGAGTAATGTCGAAGCTACGCCTGTGAGACACTCATGCAATTGGGGTTATTGAGGTTGGTAAAAAATCACATGGTAAAGTACACACCCCGTGACCGACGTTGAAACAGGAGGACAAATGTTAGGGGTGAACACAACCAATTTAAACCCGATCGGCGTGAGGTCTTTTGCAGGTTGTGAGCACCATGTAGTCAAGCAATAGCCAGTTAAGGACTTCCGCCTCTGCTGAAAGCGAGGCAGAACTCACACCGGTACATTGATCTCCGGCAAACATGATCAAATACAAATGAAGTTGAAAGATTTGATACGCAAATGGATGTCTGCCGAAGATACCAAAAATATGTGCCATCTCTCAGCGCCAATTCCAGTTCCGGGAGCTTTTCCACGGCCGACCACAGGCTTGTAGTGGATCATGGGGCAGGAGCAAGCGGCGGCAGCAATGCGGGATCTGCTGAGCTGGGGCGACGTGGCCTGTGGGATGACCTGGTAGCGAAAATCAGAGACATGTCGCCAGACCTGGGCACGGCACCGGTCCAGTCGTCCGGAGCTGAGGGATGGGCTTGTTCGTCACTCCCACAAGAGCCCCCTGGCGCCCCGAGACGATGAACGGGATCTCGCTCTCGACAAAGCAGCTCGGGGTCACCGATGGAGTCAAAGTCCTTCGTCCATCCCATGACCTTGTACCTTTGGTCGCGATCGAGGCTGCCGTAGAGCGCTGCAAATTGCTCGGCTTGCGGGAACCACCGTGGACAACGAAGACGTCACTGGGGTCGACTTCGGCGACTTCTTCTTGAGGTGGCACCAGCGTTAGCCGTGCAGCATGTCGTACAAAGTTGAGTATTCTTTGTTTCGGAGCACGGCCTTCTTCGCGAGCTCCTACATGACACCAAGGCCCCCTCGTGCGCTACGGTCTCCGCGGGCATCTTTCCGCTGAGTCAAAATCTGGGTTTCGACCTGTTCCATCACCAAGCCATCCCCTGGAGGCGCACCACCCTGGCAATCTTTTTGACATCGGGCATCCGTTCCTGGAGCTTGTCACACTGGAATTTGTGTTGGTTCCAGCGGGGTTGGAGCCACGGCAGCCGGGGCAATTCTGGTCGGGGACATGCATGATCTCCGCAAACCGCCAGTTGGCGCCCTTTTTTTTGTTCGGGTCAAGATCCTGCCATAACCGCTTCGGCCGCGGGTTTCTCCGGGCTGCTGATGAACAGCGCGAGCCCAGTTCCCGTAAAGCGCGCGCCGAGCAGTTTCGATTTGCAAGGCAACGCGCTCCTCTTTCGGGAGGTTCTTGTCGAAAAGTCCTTGCACTTGTTCGTGTTGCCGACGATGTGCGGGCGCGTGAGATCCCGGCAAGCCGTGGGCGACCAGCTGCGATAATAGCTCTCGTGTTCCTTGTCCACCGTCCATGAAGGAAACCAGCACCGGTGCGAGCGACTCCCCTTTGCTGACGGCGTCCTGGTACTGCTTGACGCGCTCCTTGTAGTTTCGACGCAAGTTGACATAGAGGCGATTCGTCCAAATGAAACGGGCATGCTCGGCATCATACGCGTAGATGGTGACCTTGTTGGCGATCCAATCTTCCGTGACGAGGGCCTCCCCGTCTCCAGGCGCGTAGAGCCTCCACGTCAACGGCAATGTTGATGCGCCGGTCCGCCCAAGCCCCGCCAGCCCTGCGCCCAAACCTGTCGAAGGGTCTTCGGGATTCTTTGCAGCAGCAGGTCCACCAGTTTATTGGGGAGAGGCACCGTGAATGACTCTCTCTCCAAGACGAACCAGTTGATGCCGGTCGAGACCTGGGTGACTCTGCCCGACAGTGTGCCCGAGTTTCGCTGCAGCCACAAACTATTGAATATAGCGGCGCCGATTGATCTCAGTGTCGGGTGTGAAATGCGGTCTCCCCGAGAAGGTTCAACACCGTGATGGTGCCAGCGGGAGTGCCCTTCCATTTGCACCCGGTAAGACTCAGTAAGGCCATACGCCTCGTAGTCTCTGAGCTGGCGGAGACGCTCACGAGCAGTCATGACGGCCCGCGTGTTGCGCTTGATGATGTCAAGGGCGCCTTCCTCTTTGCCTCGGTATTTGTCCATTGCGACCGACAACGTCATTGCCAGACCACGAAATAACGATGACATAAGGACGTGGCTCGGGCCTTTCGGCGAGCTTAGCATAGCACGCTCAGCCGGCCTCGGAAAGCCCCTTTCCCCAAGTCATCTCGGACCACACCTCGTGTTTCAAGCCAAATAAGGATCTCTTGTTCTCCCTGACGATCGTCCCGACGTCGGTCTTGCTCCTCCTTTGATCAACGCATTGAAGGAGTCGCCGAAAAAGAGGTAGTTGACCGCGGGTCTTTGACCTTCCCGTCGTGCCACAAAAGGCCGGAGCCATATTCAACACGAGCAAGGGGAACGTCCTTGTAGTTCCGGGCGTCAAACGCAGATCTCATGAACTTGAGAGTCTTCTCGACAGGAATAGGCTCAGCCATGATCGCGACGAGAGTATGAGCCACTTTGCTTTGGGCCGACGCGGCATGGGCAAATCTGTGTACCAAACCAGTCATGACATACGTGTAGGACTCAGTGTTTTTGAGGTTCAATCCCCTTCCTCGAGCAAACTCTTCAATCGCCTTCCTTCCGCATGTTCAACAGTGCATGAGCAAACTCTCCCATCAAGGTAATTGTGAAGGCAATGCGTGTTGGCTTTTTATGGTCCATGGCTTTTTCATGGGGACTCCATCAACAGTTTTCACGCCTACTGCACAACCATCAAAATTGACAGGGGTCATGTTGTTGCAAACCACAAACTTGTCCACAGCAGCATCGTTCCAATAGGTGCAACTCCTGGGCCATTCAATAGCAATAAGAGGTTTGGCAAATATCACTGAGTTGACAAGATCAACAAACGCAGACCAAATTCTCTTGTACAAAGATCGATGACGTTTGACCTTCTCCCTCGGTTCATGTTACTATGAGACCAAGCAGCGCCACCGGTACATGGAACGCTCGCCCATACCAATACAGGAATAGGGATTCCGCTATTTGTAGCCCAAACATTCTTGACCTCGTCAATGACACACTTTCCAGCGGCACATTTGGAGAGAAAACGGCTTGTTCACATGAGGAAGTACCGTTCGCAGAGTTTTCCGGGCTCAAAACCCAGGTTTGCAAGTTCCACAAGGCGAGCCGGTGCGAGAGGGGGAAAGATTGCCCGTGGCAACATCCACCTACTGCAAAGGCCACAGCCAAGCTTGCGCCCAAGCCTTGTACAAGGGTGTTAAGACATCGCTGGCCGAAAGGTTCAGCTTATCCTTGCTCTATACGGTCACCCTGGTTCGGGGTTCGGGGGGTCTGTGGGAAAAGCATTGCGAGGACATTCTTTTAGCGCTTGGTTTTCGTCTCGTATTCCCTGTAGCATGGCCTTCCGTTTTCTGGCACCCTAAGCCTCGACTTCTGCTTGCAGTTTATGTCGATGATTTCAAGATGTCAGGTCCGGTGCAAAGGGTGGGCATTGATTTCGTCCAAAACTGACATGGACCCACCTACACCAGTTGGCATGTACCTTGGATGTGAGCATATTGTCAACGAGAAGGTTCAGCTTTCTCCGGAACATCATCCATTTGCTCATGTTTTCGACTCGTCGCACTCAGGATTCTTGGGAACACTATCCGGAAGTTGTTTGCCAACACGAACAGTCAGGCGTAGATTTCGCCGCGCGCCTAACGGTGTTGCCCAAGAAATCGGATTGGGCGGGGTGCGGCGCACAGAATGCAATCCATGTTTCGAGAAGAATGGTGCGGCTCAACATTGTTGGCATTATGATGACGATGACGAGCATGTACCATCTGTTCCTTTTCTGTGGGTGGGAACTACGTATTTTTTCAGGAAAAGGTTGGAAATGCCCGCCCAGCGGCTGCGGCCGTGAAGAAATTGAGGGACAAGTCATCAGCGAAGAAAGCCAATCGAGCAAAAGGATTTTCTTACATTGATGAACTCTTTTCGCATCAGCCATGCATGGATAAGCCTGTCACTGTCGTCACCTATGACATGACCGGATTTCTTCAACAATGCCTTGACACGTGTGTCGAGCTTGCGGGGGGTAATGTGAAATTCAAGACGGTGTTGCAAGACCAACCAAGGATGACACGGTATCAAGTTTGCTGCGCGCATGGCCCGCTTCGATCTTTTGAGGGCGATCCAGGGATTGGCTTCTTGCGTGGCGCACTGGTTGGTCCCAATACATTTTATCCCTTGACTGCCTTTTCGAAAAAGCAGACGTCAACTGCCATGTCATCCACTGAAGCCGAGGTAATAGCAGCCAATGTTGCTTTGCGTGCGGTTGGCCTTCTGTCTTCCTGCCTCTGGGAAGTCATACACCCCAGCAAAGACTTCGGACTATTGGATGCATGACGTCATCATGGATTGGTAAGACATACTTCTTCACGCAGGGGGCTGGGGAA